TGTATACGCGTGATATACATGTTATTGGAGAATTCTGTCCAAGTTTTGTTCGAGTGCTTTCAGTCCTAAAGAAAGAACATAGGTTGCGAGGAGGTCTCCGAGGTACGTTAATATTAAATCTGCTCAACAGCTCACTAACTAGCTTTATGGTTTATAAATCCGTTAAAAATAGTTTAATTTCGACGTGTAAGATTCGCCTAAATATTAGAATATCACCTTTCAATCAACCACTTAATGCTATTACTTATTGTGTAATTTTCAACATTGGTACTTATTTTTAATACGATACTTTTTTTAAATATAAAAGTTCATACTAAAACTGGCAAGTATAGAGATGGTATAGCGGAATCCAACAGCTTTCTACGGTTTTTCCTAATATGAAGATTGTCTTCTGTGTAATGTCTTGAGCATAGCACACTATTTTTGGTGGGAAACCATTGGTCCCCTCGACATGTAGCGTTGATCCACATCTTTTCCTTTCGGGGCATTTAGGAAACCTATAACGTATAGGTACCACAATTATACGCCACTATTTGTATAAAATAATGACTATAAAAGCAACGTAAACGATGACCAAACAAATATCGACTTATAAATCACAACACTATCGATACACGTGCTGTCGTTAGACAAAGACAACTATTTTAATTTACGTAATGAGTGAAAGGGACATATTAAAAAAGACATCAACGGGTGCTCAAATGATATCACTTTGCAACATTTAATTTCCAATGTAAGTTGAACCGATAAATTTTATGCTATCTTTTTATAACTGGATGTCTTAGCTGACTTGCCACACTATTTCACTGCATAGGAAGCCATTTGTAATGTATTTTGGGTCCCAGAATTATTTTTCGGACTGTCCGAAACTCGGACGTGCCTACGGGTCACAAACTTGGTCGACAATGATATTGTGATTCTTAGCGTCACATCATATGCTAGCTAAAGCAAGTATGTGTTGCGCGCGTTTGTGGCCCTGTATGCGGAATCTATTAGGAGGTAATCTGTGTGGTAGCCCCACACTATAGTTGTATCAATGATACAACATAAATGCATCGATCTAGCACTGATTGACCAGAAAGAGAGCTAATGCTAATTTTATTTTTAAAAAAACGCGATACTCATGTTCAATACAGAAATTCTCGGTATCGGAGGGTTAATATTAAAAAGTAAAAGACCCAATAATAATACAAGTCGGATCAGTGGTATTACGATACTACATACACACTATGAAATAAAGGTACAAATACGATAATTATACTACGAAATCCGACTCTGGTTACGTTGATTACAAACCGGATTAATAAAAATCCTTAAATTTTACTAAGTCATAGACTAAATGAATTTATCGACAACGTTTTTTCTTTACTATGTTTTGTTGTGTTACGTTTTTTGTTTATTATATTAAAAGGCACATCAATAGAGGTATCTATGGAATGAAAAACGGCAACCACTTTGTAAGAGAAACAAGGTGAGAATAATATAGCTATCTTATTTTGTACTATGTTAAACGTCACATGTATAATAACTTCAGCTATACGAATTTTGTTCCTATTTTAGGACTCTCTCTCTCTATACTAGTAATTACTCCGAGAGTTTGCCGTTTACCATAGATAATATATTATATAGGGCACCAAGAGCCGTGGTAGCTCAGATGGTTAACGCTCGCTGTAAATATAACAGAACGCGAGTGACCCAGGTTCGATCCCCGTTGACACCAATGAAATTGTTAATTGCAATTTTAAGTGCTGATTTACCACGTGCTCGGTGGTGAAGGAAAACATCGTGAGGAAACCTGCATGTCTGAGGAAATAATAGAAAAAAAAACTTTTCAAAGACATGTGAAGTTCGCCAACACGCATTGGGGCAGCGCGGCGGACACTTCCTTGCCTTAAAACCCTCTCAGAAATGAGGGGAGGCCTGTGGCCAGCAGGGGGACGTATATAGGCTGTAACTTTACTTTTTACTTTTAGGGCACCATATAACTACGGAGAACAAACTCTGTATAAAAATGTGTCCGTAATAAAAATTTTGAAAATAATAATTATTCTATTGTTTTCAAAATTTTTTTTTTCAAAATCACTCTCAACGTATTTTACGGCGATTTTTCATACCCTGTAGCTATTCAAGCGCATTTGTGCAGATTTTGTGAACTGTTATTTACTGCTTACAGATGGACACATTTTCAATTATTCTCATATGGGAGATTATGAATGGCGGACTTTGCAAAGTAACGATTTATAGTGCGCGCAAGATAACTGCGCGCGACTGATGGCGTATTTAATGTTGCCATCGTAACTAATATTATTTCCTTCATTTAATCCTATTGCTAGAATTACATAATTATATCAAATTACACAAATGACCAAATTAATTACAAAAGCTTAGTAAAAACTGTAATATTAAGCTTAAGCTTCGAAAGACCCAATAATATTTTAAACCCTATATTTATTGCTTTAATCCACGTAATAAATATATTTCTTGAATGTAACTTTCGTTAGTTAGACATATATTTATATTATTCTATGTTAAGACTTACGATAGTTAAATTATTACTTAAATAACCATTTGAATTTTTTTAATTTATTTTTTTTAAAACAATATATTTTTGCCAGCGAGTTCGAGACAAATATTTTTATAGTTATAAAAAACACGCTTTACCTTTATTTTCGGTATTTTTCTCAATAAAGCCTTTTATTTGATACTCGTATCATGGAAATGCATATAAAATAACTAGTCCTCCATCTTTGGGAGTCCGTCATACAGAATTTAGAATGATTTCATTTATCTTACCATGCATTGTCTACCAAACTAAACGTGTATGCAAAATTTCAGCTCATTCGAAAATCGAGAAAATAGTCTTCAAACTGCCAATTTTTTTTTACATAATTACAGATGGAGATATTAACGTATTAGAAATGGCTATTACCACAATATAATAAATTAATAGACTGAGCTATTACTATGAATATTGAACAGTGATATTTTGTCTATAATAATTTTTTCAAAAGGGTATATATTTTGAAACAGAATATAATTATAATAGCATTATAATATTTATTATAAGAACGAAATTAATGCTCCATAGAAACTTTGTAAGTCTTTTATTAGCATGGCGCAGAATATATTTTGCTGTTTAATATCACTGCGTTATTTCAATACTTTTCAGACTGGCACTTTTTATATTTGGAGCCCAGTTTTTAAAATACTCCTCAACGAAGTTCAGCCATATTTAAAATCAATATCAGCTTTTAATTCCAACCAAAGTTTATTTATGGTAGGAATCTCTTTCTTCACGGCTTAAAACATACGTAGCGCACATATCAAAATCGACTGAATCATATTTTTTTCCTCCGTTCCTAGTTTTTCCCTGCGTCACAATTTTAGAAGATGAAGCTACTGCTACATTACCGTCTCGAGTTATTTAGGTGACGTGGTATTCTGAAACGCCTAAAAAATAAAAACAATGCTATATGATATTAATGACACAAAGGAAACTATAAACGAATAACGAACCAAAAGAATTGGGAAAATTTATTGTTATGGCAGACCTAAAACTTACCTGTCGAATATGCAACGCGTTCTCTAACTTTAGAAAACAGAGCTGTAGGATCGTTATTGTTTCTTTCTTCTACACAAGCACGTTTGACGTTAAAGATAATATCCATGCCAGCACTTTTAATCACTTTAGGCATAATAATGACGATTTTTTGGTGCAAAAACGACTAAAATACGGCTCCAAACACCATGGAGGACGATCCCTGTAAAAAATAGGGTCCCAGAAGTATGGACAAAATAAGTGAGGCGCTGCGATCGCTTAGTTGTCTCAATAAAAGTTATTTTCAGTCTATTTTTCCGATCAGATGCTAAAACTTGCACATCACGCGCAATACAATATTTGACCATTTCTTAATGTTTGTCTTTGTCAAAAATTAAAAAATTACGGAGCACGATTATTTTCTTACCAATGCCGCGAAAAAAACAAGGCAAAGTCAGAGCACATACGCAGAATTGGCAAGAAACTAGTTCGCCTTCCATGCATTCTGCATGGTTTCCAGAAGTCTCTTGTCTCTGGTCTCTTGCCAAGGCTGTCCAGGGAAATTTCTGTCAGCCATCTCTAATCTCATCATTATTCAACTAACTTCATCTACTTGAACTCATAAAGAGCTGACTCGCGGATACTACTTACTGACAGAGTTATCTTGTGCACACTCTAACATTTCCGCTGAAACCCCTATGATATGTGTGTCAAACACTGACCTCTATACATATACGTACCTACTTTTATTATAGAGTTCAGTAGTATCAAACGAAAGGAATTATTGAGAGAAACACAATGTACGGCGGACGCCACAAAAGGGCGATTAATAATTTCCGTAGTAACCCCTATGATATAGGTAACAAATGAAAGGGCTTGATAAGCAAAACACAATAGGTAAAGTGCCGTGATTCTAAATCTAATATGGCGACTATTAAGGTTGTTCCTTTATTAATTATTTTTATACAATTTTAGAAAGATCAAATTTAGATATAAAAGAGAGAAGGCAAAAGTTTACATAATACTTAAAAGGTTTGGCTCCCAATCTCTGATTGTAATAAAACAACTGTCACTGCTATAGAAATAAACATTTTCGATTTTTTTTATTCGAAATGAAAGCTTGGCTTAAAAGGCAAGCATCTAAGCCAAAAATCTTAATAAAAAATAAAGGATTGATTTGACATTGACATTTTGATTTGACTTATTTGAAATTTGAAATGTTTGAAATAGTTTGAAATTTGGAAATTGGAAATTGAAATCGGACTTGCTACATATTTATTTATCTATGATCGGAAAATAACAGCTGAGTTTAAGATCACAGAACGCTATTACTCCTAGCGGAGATTTAAGATTAAATCTGCTAAGACTCCCATTCATCATAAAGGTTAACATAAATAAACTGAGGAACATTCATGATTCAGTTCAAAATAGATCGTAAACATATGTATAAAAAACATTTAAAATGTCGCAACAATTGATAAATGAACAAAGCAAATATATCTTGGAGTACGTTAGCATTGAGTTCAACCCATTATTACCTTGAGGATTAGCAATCTTATTTATAATGGCTTATTTTTATTTACAGCTTATTTTCTGAACAGACTATTGACTCACAAACTTTAGATTCGCTTTCAGCACAAGTGCAGAAAAGGTTTCCTAAATCTGAACATTTCAACTGTTAGTATATTATCACCTTTATTTTCTTTCTCTCAAAACAATAAAAAATCAAATTGAAAGTAAAAAGCTACTTTGACTTTCAATATATTTACAAAAATATGAACAATACAAATTACACCGAAGCTACTAAAAGCTATACAAATTTTGTTCTTTTTTATTTGGCAGATTTGAAACAATGTGGCTATAATTCTATAGTCCATATGATTCCAATAAGAAACAATAATATTCACACAACCAATTAATAATATTATATTACATTTAAAGATCTTAGTGTTTGTCCTTGTAAAGTTTATGTATATAAAACACTCAGAGGATAAATCCCTGTCGATATTCATTATGTTGCATTCATTGTTAAAATATGTTCGATCCATTTTTGAAAAATGAACAAGTGACAAAATTAAAAAATTTGTGCGAAATAAAATGAGACTATCATCAATGTAGTCTAAGTCAAATATGAATTATTAAGGATAACTCAAAAACTACTGGTCAAATCTTGATAAATTTAATATTGGACCATATGAGAAGCACTAGCTTTCAAATAAAAAAAGAATCATCAAAATCAGTTCACCTAAAAAAGTTCTGTGGTAACACACAATAAAAAAACTGTCAAATCGAGAACCTCCTCTCCTTTTTTTATTTGAATTCCGTTGAAAAATAACTAGAAAGCAATTTTTAAAACATTAACCTGAGGTATTAAAACTTACCTTTCACATTGAAAACATAATATCATTTTTATTTATTTTTTATTCTAGTCGGGCTCTTTATCTGTAGTTACTACATACCAAGGGACTTTCTATGTTTTGCAATATTTTTTTCTTAATTTTACCAAATTTAATTAATAATTAACTAAGCTACTAAACCTCCCTGAGAGCTTTAGATTAAAATTAACTAAATAATTTCATGTGATGATAATAAATTTCATGGTCCTCAATGTCATAGAACTTAGTACCATCTATTTAAAAATATTAATTTTTATGTATTTGTTGCGAAAGGACAAGGAAAATCAAATTTTCAACATATACATTACTTTATTAATGCAGATAGTTTTTATAGTATGTACCTATTTATAATAATAAAAAATAAGAGCCAAAATTATTGTATAGTGCTAAGAATGCTGTGTTTGCTTTTGTTGTTTACCTCAATTTACAGGTTTAGGCAATTAACTTTTGCAAGTGCAGTTCTTTTAGAAACTAACCTGTGTATGGGTGGGAAAACCTATGGTGTTTACAGCAAATGACAAAAATATAAACTCATCCCTCAGAGAATCATATTTGTGCCATTTACTCAGTTCAGCTACATCTGATGCTACCCCGACTCCTAAACAAGCTAGATAAAAACCATAGCATATTTGTATAAATTTTGTATTTTTGTTTTCAAGTATGCCTTCTCCTCTCCTCCCTTATTACTGGTGGAGATTTGTCACTACCTGGGCAACGTGTGGTGGCCTTGGCCATTCTCTTTGATACATACAAACAGGACAATCCATTCAGTTCGTTGTTCCTGCACCTTTTAGAAGGCAAGCCAGGACTACTGCCTTTAGCACCGCAAGAAAGACTTTTCATTGGACAACTTTATGGTTTTATACCAGTAAATATTAAAGATGTAAGTATCAAAACTAAACTTAATATATTTATTTAGTAATTTCAATACAGGTCATGTCTTACACTATTCAGGCATATTGTGTAACTTGTACAAAATATACATGACAAAAACCCAATATTAGTAATGAAATTACATAATTAATTTCTTACCTCAATTTTTTTTACTGTTTAACTCTTAGGACATTCAGGCCATGGTATGATATGGAATAGTAGACTCTCTTATGCTGCCAGCTCTTCTCTTAATAGACTCGACTCCATAGAGTCAGTAATTCATTTTTGGGGCAATGTATACGCTATTACAACAGTCCCAGAAAATATACAAGGTCTCTCTATTACCAAGTTTAAATATTTAATTAAACAAAAATTTTTTTTATACAGGTTTTGTTTAATTAAATATTTAAAATGGGTTATTATAATATAAATGAATACATGGTTGATAAAACCCCTGGGAATGAGGTGGTCGCTTCCAAGCTGTTTCTAAAATAAATTTCGTAAATATTTTGTGACCATTGACATTCTAACATAATTTTTTTTAAAGTCGAACGAGTGGTAAAGTAAAAAATGACTTTCAATAAGAATTACAACATGTAATCTATATTGAATAAAAAATGATTCTATTCTATTCTAAACAAACTTTTGGGGGCTTTTGTTCAGTAGTCGATTTTGATGAGCTGTATTGAATTAGTTAATGAATGTTGTGGGTGTGTGCTAATTATGTTCATATACTGCAGCGCAGTATATAAATAAGAATAAGTTTTTAGTTGGTTAATAACAGTTCATTTATTCTACTAATCCTAGATATTGAAAAAGTCAGCAAAGCAAGTAATGTTAACAGAAGTGTCATCAAAGGACCTGGAATTCGATTACTCCTCACTTCAAACCTTGGTGGCTGAGAGATCCTCAGAAATTAGCTCTGTAGCGAAAGCAACTGCGCCTGCACTTATTCCATTAGGTGATGGGTAAGTTCCTGATGTTTGTAGTTTCTTCTTCATATTTTTTTGCACAATATAGGACGATATATAGATTGTCTTTGGAAATGATCCTACTTCTGATTACATGTTTTCCGAGGCATGGGCATGAAACACCACCAACTCACAGACTCTGGGCTGCTACTGATAATTTCTTGACAAAATAAATCCAATAACTGATTTAATCCTGACATGAGAATCGAACCCGGGACCATGTGATCAGCAGCTGCGCTTACGATCACTAGACCATCTAGAAAGTAATGTCTGTATGCATGTCTGCATGTCTGTAAATTGCAATTAAATACTGATTTACTCATATTTGTAAAGAAATCTGCACCTAACAGTGGGATATACTCGTATATAACTTTTTACTAAAAGTAGCATTTGTATGGTGTTGCAGGAGTCCACCTAATCGCATGGCGATGAAAGAGTTGTTAGAGGCGCTCATGTCGAATGAATATATGCCGCTGCACTGCACGTTGAAGGCAGCGGGGCCCATTCCGCCACCGACTTTCCTACTAGACCCCACTGAAATATCTTTCGCTGATGAGGTATTATCATAACATAGTGATATTTGTGTTTCAAATTTTTTATCGTTTTTACGGCAAAGTGCAATAATAAAAAATTCGACCAATTCAATGACGCTCGCCTCGCAAATGCCGGTCTAAAAAAGTTTGGTGGGGTCAGAAACTGAAGTTTCACAATCGATATTCTTTCATTCCAATGTAAGATTTGAGTAAAAAGCCAAAATTATAATTTAAGTGATGAAATATTACCTCACCTTAGATCTGCGCCTGCGGCACCGTGGATCCGATTTAGATCGCTTGTATTCTGCACATAAGCCATATTTGCCTAAATTCTCAAATGCAACTCAATTTAAGATATCATTATGAGGGGCACGCAGAAATGATCGGGAATAAGAAAAACCACATGCACGGTATAGCTAAATTGTATTTTATTATTTTTCGAAGTATTCTCCGGTCAACTTAATGTACTTTTCCATTAGTGCAAACTAATCATTAAAACAGTAATTCTAGTCTGAAGTTGATGTTGACAAAATGGCTGATTGTACGCTTCCACAGCTGCTTCGGGGTCTTCAAACCGTTGACCGCGTAATAAATCTTTCATTCTAGGGAATGTATAGAAATTGTTTGGGCTCAGGCCAGGACTGTATGGTGGATGGCTTATCAGCTCAACGTTTTCCTGCTTCAAAAATTCATTTGTTTTCCGAGCCGTGTGGGAGCTCGCATTATCGTGATGTAAGATGATGCGACGTTTCGGGGATTTTTCGAAGTTCGGCTATCATTTCTGGCAAACAAACCGTGATATACCACTCAGCGGTAACTGTTTTGCGTTCCTATAAAGGAATTGTAGCAACATGCCGCTTTTCGAGACCAACATAGCGACCATTTTCTTTGCCACGCTGCGGCAGCGAACCACTTTCGTTGGGTTGACCTCGTCTTCGAAGACCCAAACTGCTGACTGATGTTTTCTTTCAGGTTCGTATGAATAAATCCATGATTTGTTCGGCATTTGACTTCCCTCCGTTGAAGCGTTGCAGAGTATTCCGGCACCAATCTACACGAGCCGCCTTTTGCTCTTCGGACAAATTGTGGTGAACCCAGCGGGAAACTAGCTTTCTTACACACAGCTCATTATGTAATATCGACTGAATTGCAGTCATTCCGATATTGATAATAGCCTGAATTTGCTCGTGTGTCACATGACGGTCATCTAATATAATAGTTCGCACAGTTGCGATGTTTTCAGGCGTGACCGCTGTTCTTGGTCGACCTGCAGAAGAAACAGTGCTGAGTGACAGACGATCGCGTCGGAACTCGGCATACCAGCGGTATATTGTCGTTTGAATCATTGCTTCAAAATCATAAATCGAAACAAGTTCGCTGAGACGTTTATCTTTTTTTTTTCTGTTTATTTGGATCACCAACAGATGATACACAATACTATCAAAAATATAATTCAACACGGCGACTATATGCTACGTGTTCATCTTCTTACAGGTAACTTACATAAAAAGAGAAGTGATTTTTTTAAAGATAAGGAAACAATAATACAGATAACAATAATACGCTAATAAGTATACATAAATAAGCAGATTTGCTATAGCTACAGTTTGTGGATTTAATGCTTAGAATCTATACAATATTAATAATAATAACAATAAATCTACTAACTTTAATGCGTATTTTAATTATTTTTTTTGGATCAAATACTTAAATCTAGCCAACGGTGTATACATTATGTCTATTTCCATTGAATTTGGTATATGGTTGCATAATGACATCATTCTGATAAGTGGGAAGTTGCGGCCTAAATTACTTTTACAGAGACGTTATTTGAACAGCTTGTAAACCTTAAAGCGCGGTAACTTATTTGGTACAGATATATTAATTTCACTTAAAAGTTGCGCACAGTCTGTATGGTTATTCAATAATTTATGCAAAAATACAAATTTAGTCAAGTCAAAAGTTGTCATTTTAAAATATTTAAGTTTGTTATCGTATGAATTTAATAAATGTGATTTCTTTATGTGGTGACATAAAAAGCACAAACATCGCTTTTGAATTTTTTCAATACGTTTCTTGTGTACTCTATATTAAAATGGATTCCAAACTTGAGGACAGTATTCCAGAATACTTCTCACCAATGTATTATAAGGTACTCGTAATATAATAGTTTTAGGGTACTTGAATTGTTTAGAATTCCGCATAATAAAACCTAACATTCTGGAGGACCTCCTTATGATATCATCTAGGTGATTATTAAAACTTAATCTGCTGTCAATCATAATACCAAGATCTCGAATAATATTAACTGGTTCTAAAAGGTTCTTTGTTATGGGAGAAAGAAATGACGTGGCACTTTTTCTCATTCAATAGCATTTTATTGTCTCTACACCAATTACACAATCTATTAATGTCCTCTTGTAGCAATACACTGTCATCCATGTTTCTTATTGGCCTTAACATCTTAAGGTCATCCGCAAAAATGTAAGGTTCCGAGTTAAGAAAACAATTAACTATATCATTTATAAATATTGAAAGTTAAAAAATTTAAGTGTGGACCAAGGTTTGAACCTTGAGGAATACCTGATGTGACCACAAATGCTTTCGAACTAGCTCCATTAACTATCACAAATGATTGGCGGTCTTTTAAATAGGACGCAAGCCATTTTATATTAGAGCCCCCAATACCAAAATGATACAATTTTTGAAGAAGTATTTCATGGTCTACCTTGTCGAATGCCTTGCTAAAGTCAGTATATTATATATATTATTATTGTATCGACTTGAATGCGTTGATCAACAAATTCCGTCAAGGTTTCGACAAAGTCGACCATATTCGTGTTAGTGGATCTACCTCTGATAAATCCATGCTGCTTATTTGTTAGCTGAGTTTTGACATGGTTGTATAGATAAGAATAGATAATACTTTCAAATACTTTTGAGAAAATAGATAGAATTGATATTGGTCTATAATTTTTTATGTCTCGCTTAGAGCCATCCTTATGAATTGGCACAATTTTAGTTTCTTTCCAACGTGTCGGAAATATACCTGATTTTAGAGATTCATTAAATATTATGGTAAGGGTGCGTGATAGTTGTTTAGCACAATTGACAACAAAAACTGGTGGTATGTCATCGGATCCCGGTCCCTTGCTTAAAACAAGTCTTTTTAATTTGATAAAGACTTCTAATTCATTTAGTTTTAGAGAATTTAAGGTATTCAGCTGTTCTTCAGTATTTTTTATGTTACAGTTATACACATTAGTTAATGATGTAGCTTTGTGGTAAATTCTTATCCTCAGCTAACTCATTTCCCAAAAACATAGATGACAAAGTATTACTTCTATTTTTACGCTTATCTTTTAAAAAGGTCCCAAAGTATTTGGGTTTTATGAAATGCTGCTTTCGATTTTGTTACAGTAGTTATTATAACTTAGAGATAATAATTTTTCACTTCTTTTTTTTAGTATTTCATAACTATCTAAAGGATTATGATATTTTTATAACGAAGACGTATTTTATTTTTTTCTTTTAGAATTTTGATTATATCTGCGGAACCATACCGGATAATTATTGCATTTAGGTTTAGTCAGAGGAACATGAGCTGTAATAATTTTGCGTAATGTTGCGTAAAAAACATTAACATTTCATTGACATTATCAAGGTGCAGAAGTAACGATAACCAATCAATTTTTTGCAGATCATCGATTATAGAACTGTAATCTGCCTTAAAGTAGTTAAACCGTGGAATGCGGCATGGGTGTCAATTTTGATATGAAGATAGTGAAACAGTGAACTCCAATGGAGGGTGATATAAATCAACTCTGACCAACGGATCATCTTGAGATAAGCTGTGACGAAAATTGTGATAAATTATAGCACGGAAATGTTCACGCGTGAGCTCGATTTCTGTTAACGACGTGTCAACCTTAAACCAACAGAGTTTTTGTTTTTAAAATTTTTTTTTTTTATTTGAATGTCATTAGGATTCTAAGAGGCCAGTATTCAAAGTCTAAAAAAGGTTTTATTGTAACTCAATCCGAAATATTCTCTTCCCGATCATTTCAGTGCGCCCTAGTAAAGTATCGTGGTGTCAGAGTCACTTTGTCTTAAAGGGATAAAGACAGCACGACACTTAACGGCATCTTAGAATTGAGCAGCGTTTGAGTATTTTGGCATTTGATACCTATTTGATTTCGGTTGCAGGGCGTTTGGAAAAACCTCGTGAACCGCGGTGCGTACGTGCCTCTATACGACACAGAATACGAAGGGCTGCTCGGCTTGAAGCCCCCTGAAAAGGTTCCAGAACAACGCGCCAGTCAGCAGCACAAGCCCAAGGTAACAATGATAATGATTCTTCTTTCTTTAAATTTAATGACAAGAATACACATGCTTGTAGCTTGCAAAGTGAATACTTCTGGTAAGACTGACAACTCGCACGCTGCTGCCGAACGTGCATATGATCTGTTCATTTCATTTTCGTAGGTAATCATGTATAGATATATGATAATGAAAACTACAAAATTTATTCTTTGTGATTTGGTATGATTCGCTTATTGTAAAAGCTGAAACAAATGTACTGCACGGGCAGTCAGTAGGGTGCAAGTATGGCTTGTATATACTTCATATAACTTGATTTGCAAATGTATCCTCGGTGTCCTATTTATTGGTATAAGCCACTAATTGGCAATCAAGCTATTTCCCTAATTTATTGGTGTGTGTATGTCCGCCTTAAGAGCTGCACTCTTATTGGAGACTACACACGTCTATTTTCCTTTCTGCTAGTTTGCTACATGACAGTACACCAGTTTACCTCTCGGCTTTCCCTCTTTCTTTCTTTTGATTATGTGATGCCCTTGGTTGACCATGACTATTTTGTTTTATACATTTATTTGAACGCGCAAATTTTCCGGGGAAAAAGGCTTTGTGTCGTTTGTTGTGAACGAATGTGCTTTTTTAATTAGGATTATTATATACACGAAATTACAAAAGATTATTAATCCTAGGAGGAGAAGAAAGAGGAACTAGAGGAGAAAAAGCTAGATGAGAAGGACGCGGCCAGCTTAATCGTAGAGGCGAAGGAGCTGACTCAATTAGCTCTCAAAGGTGCCCTAAGTGTTCAACATCAGCAGAGGCTCCTGGCATTACTCGATCAGGAGCCAAATATTGTTTATGAAATTGGTGTTACACCTATCAGGTAATTTTTAGCGGATTTAAAAATAGTGTATAAACCATTCAAATGTATTTTTTATGCTTTTCATGTATGTATGTTATACTATATCTTCATTGTGAACTGATTTTAATGTATTTTTATATAAATATAGGTATAGCCTATTTATATAATAAATAAAAACATTGACTTAAATCATTATATTAACTACATCTTTGATGTTGACTACTTGCCTACGTTTTAACTTTTAATAGGCTACATAATTATTATTTATTAGATAAATCACGCACGCAAGCTAAATTAAACTTTATCAATGCGCGCGAGTGTCAGTAAAGTTTGGCTTTGCATCTTTTCCTCTTCCTACGTCACGGATGACATATCGTGGTTACTAAGGGGTTTCAACAAAGAGTAAAAAAATATGGTCCGAATAAGTAGTACCATTTAATTATTTATTTAATTTACAACTGTTTTTCATTAATATAATGTCTTATATTTCTTACTGTCTCAATTAACAGTTTTTATGTTTAACAATGGAAAAAACTAAATCTAACGTAAAATTTAAGTATATATTGAGGTGGAAAACATGGACATGGAATAATAAAATATTCGCTGGTGTTTTCATTATTATGTTATCAGAATTGTTAATGAATTTATTTTCTATAATATACATATAAACTACACTAATACTTAGACAACTACTTTTTCACATAACTAAACATACTAAACAATAAACAAAAATGTTTATACAAGTATCTCCAAAAAATATATTTACGTAAGCAGTGTTAAAAAACTTAAAATTCTCTAGTACGTTGCTCGTTGAAAACGCGCTAGCCCTGACTGTATATGTAACCTGAGGTTTTGCGCGATTGTAGGTTATGTATGTACGCCACGCAGGTAGCAGGAGTGAGAGACCTGCTTAAATAATTCCATCCGTAAGGGTGAGAAAATAGGATATTAAATTTTATATTTAATGTATTTAGACAACATTCTAGTTGTTACCGTGGGGATGTGCACACAAAAATTTGGGACCATGTTGGAAAGTAAAAAAAAAAGTGAATGACAAAAATATTTTTCTGCTACGATCTTATATTTATTATAGTTCATTGATAAAAATGAAATAATATGTCATTAAAGGGTCATCCACGACTTTTTCTGCCACCAGAGCGGCGCCACTTTACAATGAGGTAAAATATTTGACAGATTTCATAGCGGGAACGATAATTTCTTAGGAAAATGTAAACTAATGTTTGTTTCCTGAATTTTCTCTAAAAAAATATTTTATGACAACATCAATACGTGTATTCTTTTAATTTAAGTATTACATTAAAGTTTAGGCTTCACTTGTCTGAAAATAAGGATCGTAACAATTATTTGCTATAAAATTTAATATGTTTTACGTGGTAGAGCCATGCTGCAGTTATATTAGTAGTATAGTTGTAGCACGAATGGGTCGGCTCGACCGGGTAAGGACCACACTCTCACAGAATATTACCAGCGTGAAATTGTAGCTTAAAGCTGCGGTATTTCGTATGGTGAGTGTAGAGAACCGGAGAACCTCTTTACTGGAAACGAGCCATTCCATCTTAGTCCTCACGGGTGACAACGCATCTGCATTTTGTTTTGTAATCGAGGATACATGTAGATGTCTATGGGCCACAGCAACCACTTACCATCAGGTGGACTGTGTGCTCGTTTGTCACCCTAACCTATATAAAAAAATAGTGGTTGAAAATTATCATTATCATATTAAATAAATCATTTGCTGTTAAATCTTTTGAAATATTATTTTTATTAAACAGTACGAAATGATATTTTTATCTCGTAGATTATAAATACATACATTGCCGAAAATTAAAAAAATCCAGGCAATAAGTGAGGCGACTGTACAACCCTACAAAAATGTTTAGATGACGGCGAAACGCGGAACTACATATTTTCTACCTAGGAAATCTGTCAATGCCACTTTTTCTGGCTTACTCGGCAATGTGTGACTTGTAACTGCTCATGGTTGCCAGAAAGTCGCTAACAACGCCCTCATTTAGGTACTCTATATTTTTTTTGTTGGGTTATATTTACCTAAAATGTAGCGTAAGCGAATAAGGCCGACGCCTTTAGTCACGGGGTCCCCGTGAAGAAAGTGACCTGGGCACGGGCCTTGTGTATCCTTATGGTAAAGACGGTACTGCTTAGTGCCCTCAAAATATTAAAAAATATATACTTTTAAATAAAGTACTAAAAAGAATAAACTCTATTCCCTCACTCTCATAGTTCGATGGGACGGTAAACCGACACAACCAGAGATATCAGGCGCAGGAAAAACGGCTTTATGTACTTTCCGTGCTTGCCGGGGCACGGGGGTGAAACCGCCATATTCCTGACTGCGATCGATCGAGAAAATTTAATAACTGATTTTGACATCATTTCTATACACTACGACTAGAGATTAGAGCCCGGGATCTCATGGTCAGCAACCTTGTTTACGACCGCTAGACCAACGAGGCATTTCAGTCTTATAAAACAAAGAACATTGTTCGGATTATCCCAGCCGCTAAATTTCGTGAACGCATTACGCGGCAAACGTCCCGATACCATCCACACCATCTGGGTGCTTGGCGGTCCACCACTGTACGTTTCACAAGGAGTTTTCTTCCGCGTACGACTTCTCTGTAGAATAGTTTACCACCGGCGATTTTTCCGGACCGATACGACCTGGGGACCTTCAAGAAAAGAGCTTAGTCCTTTCTAAAGGGCCGACAACGCACCTTCAATTCCCCTGGTTGCGGTTGATCATGAGTGGCGGTAATCACTTAACATCAGGTGAGCCGCATGCTCGTTTGCCCCCTCTTCTATAAAAAAAAAATGTTATTTGTAATTTTACCTATGTGCCTATCTTAGAATTTTGCGTGGATACTTTGACATCAACACGTTGGGCTACACCAGGCAATTCTAGGTTGGGCACAGCCTATCTCGGCCACGGCAGTAGGAATGATTCAACTATCTGTCTACCGCAGCTCCCAGACCTCGTGGAGAACAACCCCATGGTGGCGATATCGGTACTGCTTAAGCTGATCCACTCGCAGCACATCACAGAGTACTTCAGCGTACTGGTCAACATGGAAATGTCCTTGCACTCCATGGAAGTTGTTAACAGGTGAAGAAATTTCAATCTTTCTTTTCGGATTTGTGTAGTAAATTTTTACAAACTATAATCGGGAAATTACGTTACATCTCGTCAAGTATACCTCAAAACATGAAAACGAAATTGTACAACCAGTGCGTGTTGCCAGTGATGACATATGGAACTGAGATGTGGCCCTTCACTGCTGGTCGTATGAGGACGCTCAAAGTCGCTCAGCGAGCTATGGAGAGGGCTATGCTCGAAGTTTCTCTGCGTGATAAACTTAGAAATGAGGATATCCGCAGTAGAATCAGAAGATAGAAGAATAAATTAGTAAGCTGAAGTGGCAATGGGCCGGCCATATAGCTCGAAAAACCGACAACCGTTGGGGAAAAAAGGTTCTCGAGTGGCAGCCTCGTACCGGTGGGTGTAGTGTAGGGCGACCCCCTACTAGATGGAGTGACGACCTGGTACGACATGCAGGAAGTCGATAGATGCAGGTGGCTCAGGACCGTGCTTTGTGGCATACCTTGGGGTAGGCCTATGTTCAGCAGTGGACTTGTGAAGGGCTGTAATGATGATGATGATGATGAATATTTTTTATTTAGCTTCGTGCTCCATGGTTTGACACACAATCTGAAATATATCTGTAATAAAACTTATATACCTAATTAAATACATGAGGTATTTTTAAAAGATTGTTTTTTGATCTGAGAGAATAACGATGTAAAATAATCTTGCAGATTATTTTAATTATTTTGTGATTCATCCACATAAAATACATACATAAACACACGCCTGTCACCGAGAGGGTTATGCACAGACTACGGACTTCCATTTGGCACGATCCTGACATACCTCTCTCGCCTCCTTTACTATTACTTATTATCCATATATCTACACATACACGCTCGGCGGTTAAGAGTACTCCTAATGTGGTCCATTTTCAAATTATCGCCAATTTGGTCGATAAATCTTCGTCTAGGGCGTCCCTTTCCGACTCTGCCGTTCACATCTGCAATATAAATTTGCTTTGTTACTCTTTCCTCGTTCATTATTTCTATAGTAAGTGCCAAATCGATTGAGAAAAATGGACAATGACATTTCGGTCGTTTAACCAGAGGCTACAAACCTTCAATATATGGGCACTTTTTATATGTAGTACTTTCTTTATTTATAATGATTTTTTAAATTTTTTATAATGATTGATATAATATATATTTATTAACCATTATTAAAAAGTTATGTTAAAGATCGCTGTAGAAGAAAAATCATCTGTTGTTATAAAGTACTTTATTCATTTAACAACAAAAAGCATTAATTTATAACACATAAAGATTCGAGTGATAACAACACCGAATAAGTACATTCTTATTCAAAAGAAAAAACTTTATTTTCAGTATTATATAAGAACTTAATTTTTATTCATGCATGCGGGCCGGCCCAAAAAAAGTGACGCATCTCTGGCTGCCATTGTCACACTTTTGTGAACTGACGTAACGCGCGTTTTGTTTATTTTAAAGGGATGAATTTGCAAAAGCTCAATATGGTAATTATATTGCTTCAAATATTTTGTTTTAATATGAAACTGTTATTAAACGAATTGCTGTGTTACTTACCATAAATTGAAATATAAAATATAACACATTTTTCGCGATGTACCGTTAGATTTTACGATGTTTATAGGAACCACAGACAATATTATTTAAGAACCAAAAAAGCAAAACATATGTGCTGAACGCCTTTTGACACTCGGCTCATATCTGAGGTCATTTTCCGTTTTTCTCAATCGATTTGGCACCAATTATACATGACCAAATCCATCCATCCATTACAGCTTATAAAAGTACACTGCTGAACATCGGTCTCCATCTTTGCCATAAGGGCCATATATGCCACAGCTGCCACGCTTGGCGACCACAGTTATTTATTATTTAGAATTTTAGCCCGCCACCTGTTTCAGTTTTCTTATGTCGCCTCTTTCTACACCCACGGGACGTTATGGGATAGTGGATATCCTTATCACCACCACTACACAGTTTTTTAATTACTTGTTGTTAAGAACTTTATCATAATATATATATATATATATATTGGGATAGCCTCAGAAGTGTTCCAGAAAATAAAATCCAGTAATATCTCCACAGCACTTTAATCACAAAATTCACCTGTTTCTTGTACAACGGCCACGCGATGATTGCCTATCGCAACGACTGTCCGATATGACATTTACTTCGATTATCAATACACTATCTTAAATTAATATAATAGTTATTAACAAACGATTATTCACCCATAATTAGTTGATAATTAATAATACATTTAATTATTATCATTTAGATTAACAATGTAATATATTTCATTATAAATCAAAACTGTTTACACTTTAACATCTGCCTACCTGTTGCTACTTATTACAATCAATACAGCATCTTTATATTAGATTTAGAGGTATAATAATTCTAGGATATATAGAATAATATTAATCAGTCGTACATTAAACTAATTAGGCTTACAGCTCGGCCTTCCTGTGAAAGCGAGTCCCTTCGCGAAAAAAAATGACGGTACTAATCGGGATAAACCTTCGATCAACAATTAGCAATGAAATAATTATTGTCATGGTAATAGAACACAAATCAAACAGAACCTGTAGCTTGTAAGCGCTACAGACTGATACTAAAACATTATTAATGTATAATGTTCTGACATAAACATCTATACGGATCTAGACACGAAACAAGTACAAGTGATGATTGAGGCCTATAATTACACGAGACACTAATATCAATATAATCTAAATAATGTTATTTAATCATAGTACATTAGATTTAATAGTAATTTATTTATATTAGATTAATATAAATAAACACTTTAACGAGCAAGAACATAATTTTTATTTAGTTTTTATTTATAAATTTATTTTTACTCATTATCTGAACCACTTTCTTCACAACTACTTTCCAAGTTTCTATTAAAATTTAACCAGGGCTGCATTTTGACCTCGAAGGTGTGCGAAGAACTCTCTCCTTAACCCTTTGTGGACGAAGCACCCTTCGTCCTTGACGCTATCCGTCAATATTGTCATAATTATTATCAACCTCAGTATCACGCACCCGTGACACCCCTGGTTGTTCCAAACATGCCCTTTGTGGACGAAGCACCCTTCGTCCTTGACGCTCTCCGTCAATATTGTCATAATTATTATCAACCTCAGTATCACGCACCCGTGACACCCCTGGTGGTTCCAAACATGCCCTTTGTGGACGAAGCACCCTTCGTCCTTGACGCTCTCCGTCAATATTGTCATAATTATTATCAACCTTACTTTCGTTTTTTATTATATCAGTATCACGCACCCGTGATACCCCTGGTTGTTCCGAACATGTCCTCCTAGCTAGACCCTCATACATGTGTACTCTTGGCCAAGTTGCGTGGCTAGACTCACGCCTCGAATCTACCGCTTCCCGACTCTGACCCTCAAACCTGGGTACTCCTGGGCCCGGACTAAGAGTCCTATAATCTCGGGTTTGACTCTTTTCTCTCTCCATGTCGAGCACTGAAACTGACAGACGATAGCTTAGTAAACCATTATTTTTAACATCATTAACATAGGTTAAGTTTATGCAGCTATGTGTACTTATATTTCTTTAATATTTTTCGATAATAGTAACTGAATCACTCCTGATCAGGCTTGGTCTTTCTCACATAGTACTGCTACTACCACCGTAGCACACCACACAATGTTCATCTCGAAATACGCAATCATTTCAGACACAGGGAGAAGAGAGGAAAAAAAAGAGAACACATTTACTCTCTTCGATTGCAACAATCGACCCCAGTACCCTTACCAATCGCGAGCAACGATAAATAATGCTTTCCAAAATATTTGTATTACTTGCTTTGAATAGAGGAAGTAGGATCAGGAACACCGCTCTGTGATAGACACAAAGTCTTTGATCTGATGGAAAGTAAGGTAAGGAGCTTAAGACCATTGCTCCGCGACAGGCACGAAGTCTCTTTATTTGACGGGAAAAAAGGGAACTGGGTGCTGAGCGGTCATGGACGCCGTGTCCCAGCAGGATAACATGAGAGTATAAATTGTCGCCTCCACGGCTTGTGGTTATTTTCCTTTTTTTTTTTTTTAGAGAATAACTTAATGTTTATGTTTGCCTCCACGGCTTTTTAATGTGATTGAAGTAAAATTGTTTAGTTTAATAGATATGTAATTAATAGATACAGTAATTATAATAGATAGTAACTTAGAATAAATTGGAAACTGCTCACCATTTAATTTGTAGCATCTATCCTGACTGAAGGTCCAGCAGCGTTCTCTACCAGATTACAGTCGTCATTTTGCAAGTTTTGAGGCTGTAAATCATTTAGGGAAAGCGAATCATGGGATCCACCATCACTTATTAGCTCGTTGACAGGCTCGTCCCTCGGCGACACGCCTGCCTGCTGGTTTGGGCACCTGGTTGTGGGGCACGTCGTAACTGCTCATGCGGGACTTTACAGGGCCGACAATGGTGACTGACAACTTTCTTCAGGAGGTATCGGTCGTTATAGAGTACTCTATGAATATTGTAGGGCACACTAAACTTGTGGTCCAAAAAACGTGGTTTCTGTTGTATTAAGGCGAAATAATAAAATACTACTTTAAATGGCATAGCAAGATCCTCCGTTATGCGGAAAATATTGCAACATTATTTTTGAAATAAATATGTGGTAAAGTGAAGGATTAATGTTAAGTACTACGTTAGACGAAAACACGATTCCGTAAAATTTTCTCCATAGAAAAAAAAAGGATCCAAAGTTACCTTCAAACTGAACAAAAAAAACGCTGGTATTCATAAAATACTTTAAATTAGATCATGAAACTTTGCATACTAACTGAACAAACTATAAGGCAGGGCTTATGTTTTTTTTTTCTTTTTTAAATTACTATTATTTTCACTGTAAAAAAGAAATTACCTGAACTATCGGCGTCTTGAAGCTTGTTTCCTGCCACTCGATCAATCTCTATCAGTCTTGCTTAGGCTTTCGAAGGGGAAAGCTGTGTCGCTATAATGTGATTTTTAAGTAAGAATATAACATGAAAGTTTCTCACCGGGATGGAATCCATATTTTCCTATGTGTCTAATCGACGATTACCTACTGACGAAATCCTGAACTAGCACTAGCTAGTTTTTACGCAGGTTGGGCTGGTGCTGGTGCTGTCACCAGCGTATTAACAATGCCGAATGCTCGTTTGTGTCCGTATCTTATCCGTGACGTGTCGTATATCTTAGCCCGTTCTTTATCAAACCAGAGTTTGTCTTTCGCCGACGCCTCGGTCATCCTTTGTTGCACATGACATTGCAATGCATCGTAATTAATGGATGTGGTATAAAAAATTACAAAATTATGTAACTCGGGAGATACACAGTTCGATCGTCGGGTGAGAAGTATAAGAAGAGTATTACCTATCGTTCTATGTATTCATCGGTTTTTTTTTAGAAGCATTTCTAATTCATCAGTGTTAACGCGAGATTTAGCGTAACCTTGAGTAAAGACGAAAGAGTACTTATTAAGAAGAGCAAGTAGTTGATTTATTTCAAAGTCATCAATTAAATCAGGATTAAAGTTTTCAAAAATAGGACTATGTAGTCGTATATGCGTGACACGAGGTTTAAGAGATTAGAGTAGCACTATTTCGGGTAATAATTACACTTAGACCCGTTTCATGTAGTAAGTTCGCACCAATTAAAACGTCTGAAGTTATTTCAAAGTCGGGTAGTACGTGAAACAAAATCTCTATAGGAATATTATTAATCACGCATAATAGCTGTTAATGTGCTGGTAGATATAACAGGGAACGGACCAATCCTACATAAATAGTTCATAACTAATGGCCTGGAAATTAATTCGCAACGGATTCACGCATAACGGAACACTTGGTGCCGCTATCGAAAACAGTATTTATAAGCAAATTACCTACTCGAACACGCACGATGTTTAAGATAGAACTGCGGGTACTATCACTCAATTAACTTATATTAGAAGTTATTAGTTTTTCGCTGCGAAAAAAAAACAACTCGAATGTGTGACCAGGCTTTGAACAAAAATGAACAAAATTTACTATCACTAGTTGTAGCTAAAGGCGTCGACCGATTTTTATCGAATGGAAGGACGTTAGAATTACTTTTAGTACGGCAATTATCAGAAGTATGGCCGATCTTTTCGCAAATACTACAAGAAGAACTTCTGTTATCAAAAGGATATTTAAAACTTTTTTTTTTTTTGGGCGGTAGATTTGAATTATTTATGGAATGTAATGGGATGCTTAATACGAATGGATGAGGCAACGAATATCAATTCTGGCATCTAGGTGGCCCTAATATTTATTAACTCAATTCTAAGGCGTTCGTCACCCACGGCTCCGATAACGGCCTCTACAGCATCACTGTTTTCAAGTTTGTCTTTCGTCAAGCGTCTTCATAGAAATCATGCCCGAGATAAGAATTCTGCGATATCCTTAGAAGAGTCGTAAATGTGCTCTCTACATCTCAATATGTCACGCGTGTAATGGCTTTCAGGTTCGGAGGTGGTGGTGATGTTTTGACGCAAATCTTCCCACGTAGAATTCATCACCAGCCGGTTACCGGCCAACATTTTAGCACGTCCCTTCAAAAGGCTAGTGACTTTCATTTGAATGTCATAATCACCGAGTTGATAGGTGTTTTTAGCCGAAGAAATGTGATTGCATACGAATAACTATAATACAGGGAGATAAGAAATTTACTTACACGCATTCGCCTGAACTCGGAACACGCTCATATTTGACACATTACCTTTGAGGGTGAGAGTATTGGAGTTAGCAGTAACAGTATTGTAGGATCGATAACGTATCACTATCGCTGTCGACTGGCTCTTATGGACATCTTTTTTATTGATCATCGTAGTAGCGGCTTCTGCTAATTCCGTAAACCGGTAAACTGTAACACTTATCAGCACATTAGAACACAAATAGCTACTTACTCTTTTAATCGATAGCACATTAAAGTTTGACATTTTTTTTTTGGTACATCGCTTAACATTTCGTACTTTAAAATGTACCCAAAGTAAATCATATTTCGCATGAACTATCAAATAATGACATTACTCGAGCAACTTAAATTTCCACTGTACTTTATGGTTAAATTGAAACATATTTGGGTTAATTAAAAAAAATTAAGAAAGTACTTGCGGGTACTTTTGATATAAATCAAACCAAAAGATTTAAAGTTTGGCTTTAAACTTTGATCTATATTTTAATGATAAGTCAATGTCGTTAATAGGAACAGCAACTTTCATTACGTTATGTAACATAAAAAAAATCAAAGGTATCAGGTAACAGCGTATCATAGTCTTTCACAAACGTAACAACATTTACACTATTCGAAGACTATATATGGGCGATAAGAAGAACTTTATCCCACTTCTGAGATATTGGGATAGCCTCAGAAGTGTTCCAGAAAAATAAAATCCAGTAATATCTCCACAGCACTTTAATCACAAAATTCACCTGTTTCTTGTACAACGGCCACGCGATGATTGCCTATCGCAACGACTGTCCGATATGACATTTACTTCGATTATCAATACACTATCTTAAATTAATATAATAGTTATTAACAAACGATTATTCACCCATAATTAGTTGATAATTAATAATACATTTAATTATTATCATTTAGATTAACAATGTAATATATTTCATTATAAATCAAAACTGTTTACACTTTAACATCTGCCTACCTGTTGCTACTTATTACAATCAATACAGCATCTTTATATTAGATTTAGAGGTATAATAATTCTAGGATATATAGAATAATATTAATCAGTCGTACATTAAACTAATTAGGCTTACATATATATATATATATATATATATATATATATATATATATATATATATATATATATATTACTTCCTTCTTTGATTTCAAGGCTGACCACATCCGTGGACCTGCCCGTGGAATTCGTACACCTTTACATCAGTAACTGCATCTCAACTTGCGAGACGATTCGCGACCGCTACATGCAGAACCGGCTGGTCAGGCTCGTCTGCGTGTTCCTGCAGTCGCTCATCAGGAACAAGATCATCAATGTAAAGGTGAGCGTTGATAATTATCCAAAAGGGTGACAATTGAGCTAAAACTTACCTGATAGTAGATGGATGCCGTAAACCATAGATACATATTTAATTGCGGTGCTGTCACCGCGCCACAAACGTCATCATCATCGTCATGACAGCTGATTATAGGCCTCCCCCATAGATTGCCCATTGTGGCAATGTTTGCCATAGTTACCACGCTTGGAAGGTGGGTTGGCAACCGCTACATACATACATATAACATACCGAAGCCTAAATCGCGCTATAGAAGTTTTCAAACAACTCTGTATACTCACTAGATGACAACCATGGGACGATATGGGGTAGTGAATATTCTTACACGGTTTACTTTGTGGGTTACCATTACGTACTGGTTTTTATTCGATAATAGATGTAGATGTATATTGACCACACACAACATGCACTAACCATCGGGTGAACTGCGCGCCCGTTTGTCACCCTTAGGCGTCGTCATATATATCATACGATTAATCGGAGCGATTTCATCGCACGATGAAAGAGATCGTGCGATGGTTTATTATGTGATGGTTGATATATATTATGCGTATTGTTATATATTATGCAATGGTTGGATTAGACCATCGCACTCATCGCCTTCCAGGTGTCGCACTTTATTAGACTTTCCAAGGTGTCCTAATAGCTCGCGCGGTGACCATCTATTAGGTAGCCGCGCTGCCACCGCAACGGCGCCGTTTATACAATGAGTAACTGAGTTTTTTTACTCTCTTAGGTCTCTAAAATAAAAAAGGTAAAGTTACAGCCTATATACGTTCCACTGCTGGGCACAGGCCTCCCCTCATTTCTGAGTGGGTTTTAGGGCAAGGAAGTGTCCGCCGCGCTGCCCCAATGCGTGTTGGCGAACTTCACATGTCTTGGAAATATTTTTCTTATCGTCTGTAACTCGACTCACCAGTGCCCTTGCATTGCGACGCTTGCAGGATGACGCGTGACCAATTAGGACACTCAAAAGAGATTTGTATGTTTCATTGCACGATCGTACGATCAAACCCATCGTACGATCGTTAGCATTTCGATGACTTGCAATCTTCAATTTAGATACTCTAAAGAAATGTGTGTGTTTAATCTCGTCGTACAACGAAGTCGCATCGTTTGCTTGTGCGATCCTTTCACCAATTAGAACGAAAAAAACTTGCTCTCCTGTCCTACATGACAACCGTGCTGTATAGTCATAGTTTGATATAATTTATAAACCGACATCAGATGTCATGGTTTCATGTAGAATTATACTCACTATACATGTACAGATTTCTTTATCAGTAAACAAAATACAATTAAAAATTAAATACGATATATTTAAAAATATAACTGAATTGATAATATATACTTCAACTAATACTTTTTCAGACTGACATAAGTTTTACTGTCTGCAGGAAATCGTAGCCAGTCCCTACGATAAGAATGAACCCGAACAAATCCGTTAGTGATTCGCTGTCAGTCAATGAGGGCTTCCACACTTTCTTCTGCCACCAAGGCGGTGTTACTTCTTCTTCTTCTTTCTTTTGTGGCGGTTTGATAAAATTCGCCAATGACGTATTGAGTGGAAAATGAAAGCTTATGAGTTTAATTAAAATAAGAGTCTGTGATAATATAAGGATTCAGTTTTCCTCCGAGAATTTTGACAAATCTATTTGTTGAATTACCTAGAACAAATGTGACAAACACAGGTGTTAGACTCTTACCAGTATGTTAAACGTGACAAGGATTTAAAGTTTCATATTATTAGTATTAATAAAATCACATAAAATATACACAAAAGGAGTACTGGTATATGTTAAAAGAGAATTAAAATAAGGTCGAGAATTATAAGGAGGAAGGTAATCATAAATGGAGAAGGATAATTTGGGACAGTTGAAAAAAATATGGTTTGTGGAACCATCCTCTAAGCTACATCATTCACACAATGAGCTATCCCTTACTCTGATTTTTGCCAGATGTGCAAGTGTACAAGCGTGTCCAATTCTTAATCTACAAATGATTGAAATTGCATGTTTATTTGCTTTGTTAAATTTAATGAACCAGGGCTTGGGAGGAATAACCTTTTGGATGGCATGATTACTTTGAAATAAAGTGAAAATATTTGACAGTCTTAATGACTGGGAAATAAAATTGTTGAAAAAGTGTAAAGATTAATATTACTATGTTGAATATTAGTTATATTTTATATCAATTAATTAGATTATAAATAGAAAAAAAAGGTAAAAATTTTACGAATATTCGTATTTGGTGAAATCCATATTCGGCCCATCTCTAATTCCTAAAAGAAAAATAATAAAAAAATATGCAAAAAATTAAAGATGAAAAACATTCACTAGAAGCCGAAAAACTTATTTGAAACGATTTTTTTAAATGTTGTGACACTGTGGCAATTAACTTCAACTCACTCCTAACTGGCGACATCATTTGAACGGAAAACTATTAACACTCTTTGTACTGAAACTTTAAAAAATCATTAGAAAAATCCAATAAATTTGATTGACTCATCGCCAATTGTAGCTTGAATCCGTTGTCTCAGTTGGTATTTCATACATTTATCATATAGGAGATTAGTAAATCCTATCCAGTAACAAACCCATTCACACACATCATAAATAAATTTTGATATTTACAGGAACTGTTTATCGAAGTAGAAGCATTTTGCGTAGAATTCAGCAGAATCAGAGAGGCGGCAGCGCTGTTCCGACTCCTCAAGCAACTGGACTCCGGCGACGGTATCGGACATAAAGAGGCAAAGGAAAACTAACACGAGATGAAATGTGCTAGAGTGTACTTGAACACAAACAGGCCTGGGTTCAAAGAGCCATCTCGTCTATCTATAGGGTCAAGATAGACCCATTTACTAACATGCTTTTAATGCATTGTATTTGACTGAGGACAAATGGACCACCTTCTTCGTGGAGATAGTCTGATTAAGATAATAAAATATTCGATATTTTTGAAGAATAAACTTAAGCAGTAAGCAATTGTTATAACAGGATAGCATTAATTTTGATTATTGATGGTTAAAAAAACTTTGTTTTAACCTTAAACCTATAAAGAAAGATTGTACGGAGCACTGCCTACATTCAGTGGCGCTAAAACCACACTAAACATTTGTGAGAATATAGTGATATGAATATACGTCATAGTTTTCACAGGCAATAAACCATCTTATTTGGTACATTTATAGCCGACTTCCGAGAAAGAAAGAGGTTGTCAATTTGAGTGTTTTTTTTTATTTGTACATATATGTTTATATCTTTGTCAGTTGTGCACAATTTTGAATGTTTTTTTTTATTAAGAAGGTTACACTTCAGAAAAAATTCTACCCTTAATGGTAGAAAAATAAAGGTGGAGTTTTTAATCAATCTATTCAGACGACAAGCTTGTGATATTCCTTAGTTCTCTAAAAAAGGTAAAAAATTTAGACATTAAATATAAGTAAAAGCCAACTTTAAAGAATACAATTTATGGGCCATATAAATAAAACTAAAGAACTAAGAAGAATAAAACAAACTAGCTTGTATGAAAATAATATTATGCACTTTTCATTCTTCTATTTTATTTTTTATGTTCAAAATTGTTAAAATATTGAATATGGAAAAGTTTCCACACCTGTAATATTCAAATCAATATTTTTTTATCTGACTGCGCCAGAAAGTAATGTTTTTTGAGAGTATATATAATATGACTATTACTTTGGTATGCTCTGTAGCCTATGAGGTGTCGTTAGTTTTGTCTTAACAAATATGTAACGAAAGGGAAATGAAGGTTTTTATTTCAGTAAACTTTTTAAAACAGTTGCATTTTTTAATTACTCTTTTTAACCATTAAGTTTGTTTACTGACTTACATACGATTCTAGATAACAACGAGAATATCATGCTTAGTTTTGGACTTACATCAAACGGCGAAGTAATCAGCCTCCATTGTTAGTATGGAGAAATGGCCGCCTGGCGCAACCTTAATCTCAAGAATCTTGTGCAAAACACACTTGCGTAATGCGTTTGTACACATAGTTCGGTATTTTAATCTAAATAAGAATTTTTTAATCTACCTCTTTTCGGGTGATAAACGAGCACACAGTTTACCTGATGATAAGTGGATGCTGTAAACCATAGACATCTAGATCTATTCTCAATTAAGAATCAATTTTCTGCATATCAACAATATCATCATCATCATCATCATTACAGCCCTTCACAAGTCCACTGCTGAACATAGGCCTCCCCCAAGTAATGCCACAAAGCACGGTCCTGAGCCACCTGCATCCATCGACTTCCTGCATGTCTTACCAGGTCGTCACTCCATCTAGTGGGGGGTCGCCCTACACTACGCCTACCGGTACGAGGCTGCCACTCGAGAACCTTTCTTCCCCATTGGTTATCGGTTCTTCGAGCTATATGGCCGGCCCATTGCCACTTCAGCTTACTAATCCGTTGGGCTATGTCGGTCACTCTGGTTTTACTGCGGATATCCTCATTTCTGAGTCTATCACGCAGAGAAACTCCGAGCATAGCCCTCTCCATAGCTCGCTGAGCGACCTTAAGCGTCCTCATACGGCCAGCAGTGAAGGACCACGTCTCAGATCCGTAAGTCATCACTGGCAACACGCACTGGTTGTACAATCTAGTTTTTAGAGATTGAGGTATACCTGACGAAAAGATATGCCGTAATTTCCCGAACGCTGCCCAGCCGAGTTGAATCCGTCGATTGACCTCTTGGTCGGAAGTTGGACTTACCTAGTCGGACTATTTGTCCCAGGTAAACGTATTCGTCAACAACTTCGAGCATAGTGCTCCCAACAACTACCGGCATAGGTGTGACATGGACATTGAACATGATCTTTGTTTTGTCCATGTTCATCTTAAGACCTATCCGTTGGGAGGCACTATTGAGGTCATTGAGCATAGTGCTTAAGTCCTCCAGCGATTCTGCCATAAGGACTATATCGTCGGCAAATCGAAGGTGAGTGATGTACTCGCCATTGATGTCAATACCGTATCCTTTCCAGTCCAGTAGCTTGAAAACGTCTTCCAATGCAGCGGTGAAGAGTTTCGGGGATATAACGTCACCCTGTCTTACACCTCTCTGCAGTTGGATAGGTTTCGAGCTCTGGTTCTGTACTCGGATAGCCATCGTAGCCCTACTGTACAAACACTTCAGCACTTCGATATACCGACAGTCAACTTGGCACCGCTGAAGGGACTGTAGCACCGCCCAAATTTCGACGGAATCAAAGGCTTTCTCATAGTCCACAATATATTGCAAAGTAATAACTGTCATTGCTATGAAGATGACAGCACTGTTTGGCGGTCCACCACTGTGTTTTACTAGGAGTTTTTTCCTCCTACAACTTCTCTGTGGAATTGTTTACCACCGGCGATTTTTCTGGACCAATATGATTTAAGAACCTTCAAGAAAAGAGCTTACTCCTTTCTAAAAGGCTGGCAACGCACCTGCAATTCCCCTGGTGTTACGATTGTTCATGGGCATAGTCACTTATCATTAGGTGAACCGCATGCTTGTTTGCCCCTTCTTCTATAAAAAAAGTATTTTACAACAAAATATTACGTACCTTTATCAAAAACATATATTTATATTTCTTTTCATTTCATCAAGCAACTTTTGAGTCTGATGTGTATTTTATTTTAATTGTTTAGTAATTGCTTTTGGCCTTTAATTTAATCACTATGATCATAATTATATACATCTGCATAAGTCTAAGATAGAAAGGTCTTATTCCTTTAAACATACAATATATTCTTACCCGGACAACACTGGGCACCGAGTATTGTAATAAAAGGTAAACATTAATTTTTAATTTTATTTTAATCAAATACAATTTATTGACAAATAGTACAATTCTAATTCTACTCTATAAATGCTTGTAAAACTAATTCTGACTACCACCTTCCAGAATCTTCCTTACTTCTTCATCAGAAGCCAAATCTAAGGGTGTACAGCCTTCTTCATCTTTAAGCAATGTAGCACCAAATTTGAGCAATAACTTTGTTGCATTTAAATGGCCACAAGAAACAGCATAGTGCAAGGCAGTCTGACCACTATTATCTACTGCATTAATGTCACAGCCACCTTTGATAGCAGCATTTAATGCTGAAACTGCATCTCTGTCAGCAGCCCAGTGTAATGCAGTTAGCCCATCATCATCCCTTTCATTTTTAAGATCAGGAAACTCAATTAAAAGTTCTGTTACACGCTCCCCCAAGTCTTCTCGGGCAGCCTCTAAAATAGATAGCTCATTGTGTACCAAATCTGGTTCAGGACTAAAATGAAGTGAAGAAACTGCCACCCATGCTTCTTTTGAATTACCTTTGCTTTCAGTCAACATGTCACCCCATTCAGGGTCATATTTTTGTACCAATGCTATATATTTCTGTTTGGCCTCATTACTAGGCATGTCTTCTAAAGTTTTCCATGCTTCCCATTTTTTACGACCCTTTCCATCTAACCAACTTGGTTTTGGCATGTTGCATTTACCTTCAGTGCTTTGTTTAAATAAGCCATAAAGTTCTAAGAGTTGATTATTATTAAGTTTTGAAGTAATCTTCCTAACATGATCAGATGCTTTATTAAAAGATACATCTAGGGGTGACAAGTCATCATCAGAAAAGTCTGAATCTGGATATTCTGGTAGTGCTACCGCCATTGTAATCTAACTGTTTTGAATCTGAACAGTTAAGTTTAAACCTTCTAATGTATGAACTTGCTTATTAGTTGCATTAGCAGCTGCAGATGGGCTTACAAACTCAATAAAACCATAACCTTTACTAAGGCCAGTAGATCTATCGAACACAACTCTAGCACTTTGGACAGGTCCAAATTGAGAAAAATATTCCCTAAGTTGGCGATGACCAACTGTCCAAGAAAGGTTGCCTACATAAAGGCGAGCTGCTCTTGCTGTGCTGGCCATAACCTAAACAGAGATTATTTCAAGTAAATGTAAGGATCTGTCGCCAATCAAAGCCCTGTAATCAACTCCAGAACTCTCACTCAGTGAGTCTAAATCCAAAAGCGCACCTTTCAATCCCCACTTCTTAAGTAGAGCTTCAATGGACCAGTCTGCACTCCGCTCCTGGTAAGCACACAAAAATCTTCCGTCAGTTCCGTCTAGAAGATATGCAACTGTAGAAATAACCTCTTCAAACTGTGACGGTTCGTAAAAGCAATCTGATGCTAATAGTAAATCTACAGGTCGTAAACTATGAACATCAGCTAAAAAAAGACCCCAAGCGAGTCCTAGTAGGTGGATGTCTTGTCCAGGGACCAAACCATTGGCCTCACAACACGCCGCTAAGTGTTGAAGAGATCGTGGCAACGCGACACTGTCAGTCAAAGTTACATAAGCTCCACACTTAGCAGCTAAAATACCAGGTAGACCAGTACCACAACCAAGTTCTAAAACTCGTAAACCGCGTAGATGCCGTCTCTGGGTCCACAAGTACCAAGCCAATAAAGGTGCAGATGGCCACGTGTAAAATGAGTAGCCTGCCGACAACAATTCTGGGATTACAATCTCCAGGTATTCACCTCTAATATCACCGTTATTTGCTGATTTTCCACGAAATACGAATTTCTTTAATGGACCGCTCACAGGACGACCATCGCTCATTGCATAAGCATAATTAAAAACAGAATTGATTTATAAAAGAAAAAGAGACATATAGAATAAAGAGTTTGACAGTTTGATTTTGTTGGTGTTACCATTAAGACAGGCAAAGGTCTTTTAGATTATATACAGCCTAGTCTGATTTGTATTTTATTCACAAAACTTCTTTTTTCTTGGAAGATTTTGACCAGCGGATAACTGATGACAACCATATTTCAAGGTTCTAAAGCGAATAAAAAAACCTAAGATTTATATCATTAATCAAGCTCTAGTAATAGTTTCCGTTATCTAAAAAGTTATTCTTTGGTCATTGATAGCTCCATATTTACGTATAAAATCGTGGGCTTTTAAGTAAGCGTGAGAGGAGCCGCGGGTAAAAGCCAGGACAATTTTATGAGCGCAGCGCATCGTGAAAGTACACACATTCGATTTAAAATATCACTGCGGAGTAACTTATTGTCTATATATATTTTTTTATAATATTGCACTTGATGGATTATAAAAATTGACTAATCTTCTTCGGTGGCATGAAGTATGTTTTAATGGAAGTTGCTTCAAGATGTAGCCAACAAGGCCTGTGACTCTTCTGACATACGGTATTGCAGCAGGCACACGCTCGACTGTAGCTGGCTTATTCCACATGGCTTTATTTCTCTACAAGATGCAGCCGCGCAAGCATGGGCAGTAGACAATATATCCACGGGGAGAGGATAAAATTTTTAACCCTTGATCAGTTTTATCCACCCTGCGAGCATAGGCAGGAGACAAAAATTATATCCCCCGATTATATCGACTGAAAAGAGATAAAATTATCTTATCCCTACAGTATATCCACTTTTGACATAACGAGTTGACATATATCGCCCCGTCCGTAGCATGGAGCCAAAGGAAAGAGAAAAAAATATCCCTTTTTGACATTTTAAAGAGACAATTTTATCCTTTTTCGTGGACGTGGGTTTACGTTTATCTTCATCATCAATAAAGCCCTTCACAAGTCCACTACTGAACATACCTCCCCCAAGGTATGCCATAAATCACGATCCTGAGCCACCTGCATCCATCGACCTCCTGGATATCCTACCAGTTGTCACTCCCTCTAAGGGGGTCCCCTACACTTCGCCAACCAGTACGAGGCTGCCACTCGAGAACCTTTTTTCCCCCACGGTTGTCGGTTCTTCGAGCTATGTGGCTGCTCCATTGCCACCACTTCAGCTTACTAATCCGTTGGGCTATGTCCGTCACTCTAGTTCTACTGCAGATATCCTCATTTCTAAGTTTATCAACCACAGAAACCCCAAGCATAGCCCTCTCCATAGCTCGCTGAGCGACTTTGAGCGTCCTCATACGGCCAGCAGTGAAGGACCACGTTTAAGTACCACTTCCATAGGTCAAATAGGCAAATCGAAGTTGAGTGATTTACTCGCCATTGATGTTAATATTGTATCCTTTCCAGTCCAGTAGCTTGAAAACGTCTTTCAATGCAGCGGTGAAGAGTTTGGAGGATATAACGTCATCCTGTCTTACAACTCTCTACAGTTGGATAGATTACGTACTCTGGTTCTGTACTCGGATATCCATCGTAGCCCTACTGTACAAACAATTCAGCACTTTCATATACCGACAGTCCACTTGGCACCACTGAAGGAATTGTAGCACCGCCCTCATTTCGACGAAATCTAAGACTTTCTCATAGCCCAAATACGCTAGGCAAAGTGGCAGATTGTACTCTTCGGACTTCTGTACAATTTGCATAAGGATAGGTATGTGGTCTATGGTGTTAAAACCTTTTCGGAAACCGGCTTGTTCGGGAGGTTGGCTTGACTCTCGAAAACAGCACGTAGACGCTGCTCAGAAGGGATATCGGTCTGTAGTTCTTCAAGAGAGCGTTGTCACCTTTCTTAAAGAACAAGACCTCTGTACTTCTGCTCCAAGTTTCGGGAGTAGTGCCACCATGGAGAACGGAATTAAAAAGCTTCTGAAGGACTTCAAGTGCCGGATTTCCACCCGCTTTCAGAAGCTCCGCTGTAATTCCATCCTCCTCGGGGACTTGCCGTTTTTAGGGTGCTCTTGGATCGCTACTCACACTTGCGTATGGGTCCGACGATGACGTGTACAGCATTTTTTTTATAGAAAAGGGGGCAAACGAGCATACGGTTCACCTGATGTTAAGTGTCTTCCGCCGCCCATGAATATCCGCAACACCAGGGGAATTGCAGGTGCGTTGCCGGCCCTTTATTTCCTTATGGAGTAAGCTCTTTTCTTGAAGGTCCCTAGGTCGTATCGGTCCGGAAAAACCGCCGGTGGTAAACTATTCCACAGAGAGTGATTAGTGACCGCCAATACGGTTTTCGCCGTGGTCGGTCAGCTGATGATCTTCTGGTCTACCTAACTCACAGATGGGCGGAGGCAGTAGAGTCCAAGGGGGAGGTATTGGCCGTTAGTTTGGACATTGCGAAGGCCTTCGATCGGATTTGGCACAAAGCGCTTCTTTCGAAGCTCCCTTCCTATGGGCTTCCCGAGAAATTGTGCGATTGGATCACCAGCTTTCTTGCAGATCGGAGCATCAAGGTCGTTGTAGACGGTGCAAGCTCCGATTGCAAGCCTATTAATGCTGGTGTTCCACAGGGCTGTGTGCTACCGCCAACGCTGTTTCTTCTGCATATCAATGACATGTTGCATACCCGTAACATTCATTGCTATGCAGATGACAGCACTGGTGATGCTCTCTACACCGGCCGAGCCAATATTTCTCGGGAAAACGTCTCCGAGTGCCGGGACAAACTTGTGTCTGAAGTCGAGTCTTTGCTGGACAGAGTCTCGGATTGGGGGCGACTAAATCTAGTCCAGTTTAACCCCCAGAAGACTCAAGTTTGCACGTTAACCGCTAAAAAGAACCCCCTTGTCGTATCCCCTCAGTTTCAAGGCACTACCCTTGTTGCCTCAGCCAGTATCGGAATCCTCGGCGTCGACATATCGAGTGACGTGCAGTTTCGTGATCACTTGGAAGGGAAGGCCAAATTGGCCTCTAAAAAGCTTGGCGTGCTCAGCAGAGCGGGACAGTATTTCATGCCGGCACACCGCCTGCAACTTTACAAGGCGCAGGTTCGGCCGCACATGGAATACTGTTCTCATCTCTGGGCTGGGGCTCCCCAGTACCAGCTTCTTCCACTTGACCGCATCCAGCGCAGAGCGGCTCGAATCGTCGACGACCGAGTGCTTTCCGATCGGCTCGATTCACTGGCGCTGCGAAGAGATGTTGCATCTCTTTGCGTATTTTATCGCATCTATCACGGAGAGTGCTCTGAGGAATTGTTCGGATTAATCCCGGCCGCCAAATTTCGTGAACGCACTACACGTCAAACGTCCCGATACCATCCACACCATCTGGATGCTTGGCGGTCCACCACTGTACGTTTCACAAGGAGTTTTTTTCCACGTACAACCTCTCTGTGGAATAGTTTACCACCGGCGATTTTTCCGGACCGATACGACCTGGGGACCTCCAAGAAAAGAGCTTACTCCTTTCTAAAGGGCCGGCAACGCACCCGCAATTCTCCTGGTGTTGCGGTTGATCATGGGCGGCGGTAGTCACTTAACATCAGGTGAGCCACATGTTCGTTTGCCCCTTCTTCTATAAAAAAAAAGAGAGGTCGTACGCGAAAAAAACTCCTTGTGGAACGTAAAGTGGTGGACCGCCAAGAATCCAGATAATGTGGATTTTTTTATAGGATAGGGTGACAAACACAAACTAATAAGAGTACTAACGTGGGTGACAAACGAGCACACAGTCCACCTGATGGTAAGCAGTTGCTGTGGCCCATAGACATCTACATCTATCCTCGATTACAAATCAAAATGCAGATGCGTTGTCAGTGTGTTGAGGACTAAGATAGAATGCCTCGTTTCCAGTAAAAAGGGTATCCGGTTCTCTACACTCACCATACGAAACACAGCAGCACTAAGCTACTATTTTACGCTGGTATTCTGTGAGAGCGTGGTCCTTCCCCGGTCGAGCCGACCCATTCGTGCTACAACTATACTTCTAATATAACTTCAACATGGCTCTAACGCGTATAAAATGATGGTACCGGATACCGGGAATTACAACAGATGGTATCGGGAGATTGCCGCGTAGTGAGGTCATGAAATTTGGTGGCTGGGATTAATTCGAACAATTCCTCAGAGCACTCCCCGTGATAGATGCGATAAAATACGCAAAGAGAAGCAACATCTCTTTGCAACGCCAGTGAATCGAGCCGATCGGAAAGCACTCGGTCGTTGACGATTCGAGCTGCTCTGCGTTGGATGCGGTCAATTGGAAGGAGCTGGCACTGGGGATCCCCAGGCCAGAGATGGGAACAGTATTCTATGTGCGGCCGAACCTGCACCTTGTAGAGTTGCAGGCGGCGTGCCGGCATGAAATACTGTCCCGCTCTGCTGAGCACGCTAAGCTTTTTAGAGGCAAATTTGGCCTTCTCTTCCAAGTGACCACGAAACTGCACGTCAATCGATATGTCGACGCCAAGGATTCCGATACTGGCTGAGGCAATAAGGTGAGTGCTTTGAAACCGAGGAGATACAACAAAGGGGTTCTTTTTAGCGATTAACGCGCAAACTTGTGTCTTCTGAGGGTTAAACTGGACTAGATAAGTCGCTCCCAATCCGAGACTTTGTTCAGCAAAGACAACTGCCCATAGAAATTTCTCAATCTCACTCAAAATCTCAGGTGTCCCGGAAACGATGCTGCTACACTCGGTCTTACGCTTCGACAGTTGACTCTTTCAGACAGACAGATTCCTGGCAAAGACTTTGGAGTCTTGGTTCCGCTCGATCGCTTCTTTAATACGAGCTGTACTGAAGTTGCGTAGGTCCTGCCGCATGTATTTGGAGATCCGTCGGTTTAGTTGCCTGTATGCTGCTAAATCTGCTGAAGACTGTAGCTTCATTTCCCTTCTAACAGCCATGAGATTAAGAGTGTGATCGGAGAGTTTTTGTGTTCCTCT